TGCAGCCTCGATCTCTCTTTCTCTCTGGGCTTCTCTTTCTCTCACAGCCACGGAGAACTTCCAAGTCCAACTCCATTTGTTCTACTGATGAGAAAACCTTGGTCCAGCGATAGAGGCAGGAACAGGGTCACACAGCACATGGGTGCTGGGGTTACAGCAGTAAACACAACAGACAAAAATTCTGCTGACTTCCTCACGGGGGAGGTGGGCAATGGGCAAGGAAGGCAGGTAGAAACATGGGGGTGCTGTGGGGAGAAATATAGCCGGGGAGGGGGTGTCAGGTGGGAGAGTAAGGGCCAAGTTTAAATAAGGTCATCAGGACTTCACCTGATTGGTTTAACAATGGGTTTCACATTACTTCCTAGTTAGATCTCAACCTAAAGGTCACTCACTCCAGAGAACACATCCCTGTACACCCACTCCTCAAGGGCGGGACCCCCTGCTCCATGCTCTCACAGCTCCTGAACTTTATTCCTCAACTCTTTTCAGGGTCTGGAGTACTGTCTGTCCCTGCCACTAGACTGAGAGACCATGTTGGTCTTGCTCACTGTTGTGTCCTTGGTACACAGAAGGTGCTCAATCCGTAATTGTCAGCAAAAACCAGAAGTCTCAGCTCCAAATTGCTCAGTCCATTCCTCCATCTGTTACGCATAAGGGACCCGGGGCGCAAAGTGTAAGAGGCCCACCCACACTGCACAGCCATTCTCTGCCCCAAGTCTGGTCTCTTCCTGAAGCACCCACTGAACTGCTGGGCCCCTCGGCCCCCCAGGGCATCACCTGCCACCTCCCAGATTAATGGGGAGCCAGCACAGGGAAGAACCACCAGGCCGAAGCACGTTTAATTTTAATTTAGGAATCGCTAAGGCTGCAGGCCTGCTCAGCTCTGGGCTGTCAATCAGCCTTCCTCAAGGCTGCATCAATTAGTTTAAAAATATTGAATGTAATTTTGCCTGACACAACATATTGCAGCTACTGCAAAATATAATTTATTTTAGAAGAAGAAATAATTAAACTAATTTGCATGTCAGTCAGCTGAACTGAGATGCCAAAGGCTGGGGGGAGGACCAGGGGGGATCTGGCCCCTGGAGAGGGCACCTGCTGCTGGGCATTGGGTGGGGTCACTGTGGGCCTGGGTCTGAGCAGTAGGTGCCTCTGGATGGACAAATATCCAGGCAGCTAGAGGGCCCACTGACATTGTACCTAGACCAAGCACTGGACTTGGAGTCAGGAGACTTAGAACCCAACCCAGCTCTGCCGCTGACTCGCCTGGGGCTTTGGATAAAGTCCTGCCCCTCTCTGGGCCTCAGTTTTCTCATCTACAAAATGGGTGTAACAAGACCTCCTTAACAGGTTGTTTCGAGAATGAAATGAGGTCATAGATAAGAAAGTTTGTTATAAATTGGAAAGTCCTGCACAGAGGTGAAGATTAATGCATGGGTGGCTTCCTTGTTTTATACCAGAAATATTTAAGGTGGTAAACGTGTGAATTATTATTATCAATTTTTACAAATGATGTTAACCTGGGAAGAAGGCAGTCAGAGGTGAGACATCAGGCTGGACTCCTCCACCTGCCAGTCACTCCAGGGCGGTGGTTGGCAGCCCTTGCTACACATTGGGTTCCTGGAGCTGTTAAAAAAAAATGGCAGTGTAGCCCTGACCGGTTTGGCTCAGTGGATGGAGCGTCCTGCAGACTGAAGGGTCCCAGGTTCGGTTCCAGTCAAGGGCATGTACCTTGGTTGTGGGCACATCCCCGGTGGGGGGTGTGCAGGAGGCAGCTGATCAGTGTTTCTCTCTCATTGATGTTTCTAGCTCTCTGTGAAGAATCAATAAAATATATTTTTTTAAAAAAACAAACAAATAACGGCAGTGGCCAAGCCTTGGGCATCTGTGTGTTTTAAAGGCTTCCCAGGTGACTAATTGCAGCCGGCTGGAGACTGCTGTGATGTCAGGGGCACTGGGTCTTGATTTCAGGGTGGCCCACAAGCTCTGGGGGTTCCAGGCCAGCCCCCAATTTCGGGGTCCCTGGGATAAGCTTTGCAGGTGGCGATGTTGGCAGAGTAGAGGCTCACCTCCTCAGGGTTGATTCAGCTGCCCTGCCTCTTAGATCTGAGACCCTCAACTCATGCCCAAGGGTTCAGGGCTTTCTCAAGAGGTGACCTGTGACATTTTAAAAGAGAAGGCAGAACAGCAACAGAATGGTAATTACGTGGGAAGGAGGACGTGTTAACTAACCGTATCGTGTAACCATTTCACAATCTATACATGTATCAGATCCTCACACATGGTACACCTTCAGCTCACACCATGTTACATGACAATGATATCGCAACAAAGCACGAACGTTTCAAAAAGAAGAGGGAGAAGATACCAGCAGGACCTAAAGAAGTGGTGCCGTAGGGGGGCTCTCCTGCTGTGGCCCAGTCCTCCCGCAGGGTGGCTGCCCACGGACGGGGAACTTGTCCTGAGGGCTCCTTTCTGCGTGCCCACAGGACTGTCTCTTCTCTGGTCCCTGCGCCGCCCCCACTGCAGGGGAGGGTGCCCCCCTACCCTCTCTCTGCCTCCGCGGGTAGAGAGGTGCCTGTTCCTGGCACAGCCTCACCCTCCCCGACTCCAGAAAGCACCACCATCTGTCTGTCTAAGTTCTCCAACACCGCGCTCTTAAAAATAACGGCTCTCCCGGCATTCCTAGTCACGACTCCCATCTCTCACCCCTGGAAAAGCCCCCCTAATCGCCGAAGCAGCAGGTCCGAGTGAGCTGAGAAGATAAGGTGCTCCCGGCTAAGGGGAGCTCCAGAGAGGGGTCAGGGTCTGAGTTAATTAAAGACTCACCCGCTTCCTTTGAGGTGCCTGCACCTGCCTCCCCGTCTCCCTTCCTCTCTATCAACACACAGGCAGCCGCAGTCCACATCCAGCGGCCCGGGGTTCAGAGGAAGAGGCAGCCAACCAGTTCTACTCCCCCCAAAATTCCCGGGGCTCCTGGCTGCCTGGAAGCTTCCAGGTTGCCCCCAGAATAGTTCCCTGCCAGGCAAGCCAGAGACCCAGCCCTCGAATCCCTGCTTGAAAGGGGGTAGTTTCCTGTCCCAGAGGATGTCCTTGAAGAGGAATGAAGTCACGGCTAAGATAGCGGAGGACCGGGCACCAGTGAGCACTCAGAGGTCTGGGTGCAGCTAGGAAGGGCCAACATTCTGGGTGTTGCTCAGAGAGGACAGGCTGGGTGAGGGGTCCCAACATCCTAGTCACTTGATGTCACTGCTGAACAGCCCTGAGCGTGTTTGCTTATGCAACAGATCCTTATGCAGCACCTGCTGTGTTGCACGCACAGTTTCAAGGGCTTTACAGATAGTAACTCAGTCTGTCCCCTTAGCCAACCCATAGCTACTAACCCCCTTTTGCTGGGGAGAAAACTGAGGCACAGAGAAGACAAGTGACGTCGCATGGATCACACAGCGGCTAAATGGCGGTGTTGGGCCCTAGCTGGTTTGGCTCAGTGGATAGAGCATCGGCCTGCAGGCCAGAGGGTCCCAGGTTCGATTCCAGTCAAGGGCACGTACCTTGGTTGCAGGCTCCTCTCTGGCCTGGGCCCTGGACCGGGCACATGCAGGAGGCAACCAATCAATGTGTTTCTCTCACATTGATGTTTCTCTCTGCCTTTCCCTCTCTCTTCTACTATCTCTAAAATCAAAGGAAAAATATCCTCGGGTGAGGATTAACAACAACAAAGTGATGGTGTTGGGATCGGAACCACGAGGCTCCAGAGTTCTAGATCTTAATCACTATGCTCCGTTTGTGCTCTGGTGTGGAAACTCATATCAGAGAGGAAAGGTCTTACCCAAGATCAAGCACGGGGTCAAGGACCGAGCCCTGCCGGGAACTCAAACTTCTCTCCATCTGAATCCTTCCGGGTTTCATTCATTTGTTCAACAAATGTATTAGGACCTACTCTGCGTCGTATCCCACAGTGTTGAAGTCATACGACAGAGGCCTTGACCTCAAAGACATCCCAGTGGGAGGAGTGGGGACTTGATGGTTTGGCTGAGGACCCTGCCAAGACCGGAGGTGGACTTGTCACGCCCTCTCAGGGTCAGGTCTTGAAAGACAGAGATTTGGGGCTCAGTTGCCAGCTGACCACATCTTTAAACTTTTCCATGTTGGGGTTTCTCTTCGGCACCATGGGGATATAATTGTACCAAACCACAGGGTTTCTACAAGGATACCTGGAATAATGGGCATGACTGCTCCAGGTGTGTTCTGTTCACTCCATGGTGATGGACAGAGCTGGCGACAGTGCTGGTAGTGTTGTTGGAGGTGGGAGTGGGGTGGTGGTGTGATGGTGATGATGGTGATGATGGTGGGGCTGATGATGTGGTGGGGCTGAGGTGGTGATAGTGATGGCCTTCGTGTTTGTGATGACGGTAGAGATAATGAAGGTGGTGGTGGTGGTGATAATTCTAATGGTGACAGTAGAGTTGGTGGTGATCGAATAGTGATGGTAATAGAGCTGTGGTGATGGCATTGACGAGGGTAATAGTGATGAGGGTGGAGATGGTGGTACTGATAGTTATATTGGCAGGTGGCAATTATAATACTAATGGTGGTCGTGGTAATAGTAATGGTGATATTGACAGGGGTGATGGTGGAGATGGTGATGGTGTTGGTGATGGCCTGGGTGGTATTGGTGGTTACCATGGTGAAGGCTGTGATGATGATGCCAGTGGTGCCAATGCTAATGGCACTGGTGGTGATGGTGACAGTGACAGTAATGGTGATGGCTACAGTGATCATCTAATGGTGGTGATGGTGATGGCAATGGTGATGTGACAGTGACAGTGGTGATAACCACTTGTGCCAGATGTCCTCAGTCCTGATCCTGGTACCAGCTTGATCACCCCCCGAGTCTCTCTCAGTGTGACTCCACTGCCTGACCTTGTCCAGCAGCAGGTGGGGCCTGTCTAGGTCTCATATTGGATACCTGTCACCCTCCTCCTGTGCTCTTGCTACAGACAATCATGCCCAGCTCTCCCGGGCATCCCTAAGGATCCGAATCCTGGATGTGAACGACAATCCCCCAGAACTGGCCACTCCCTACGAGGCAGCCGTGTGTGAGGACGCCAAGCCAGGCCAGGTAACGCCCAGGGGCTGGGGACTGCAGGTTGCTGCCGGGACTGGCCAGAGGCTCCTCTACCCAAGCCCCGAGGGGGCTCGGCCTCATGTCAGCCCCCTGCCCCTCCTCACCCTTTAGCTCATCCAGACCATCAGCGTGGTGGACAGAGACGAGCCCCAGGGTGGGCACCGCTTCTATTTCCGCCTGGTGCCTGAAGCTCCCAGCAACCCTCACTTCTCTCTGCTCGACATTCAAGGTGAGTTACTTCTGAACCCCCAAATCCTAGGGTGCATGGAGGGAGGAGCCTAACTTAACTGCCCTCTTTCCACATTATTGATGGAGAGACTGAGACGCCCAGAGGGTCAGCGTTGGGCCCAAGATCACACAGAAAGTCCGGGCCAAGCTGGAGCTGTTGTTACCCAGGCCGCTGGTCAAACCCTGCAGAACAAGCAGTGGGTGGGTGGCCCAGTGGAGAGGGGGCATCTCAAGGGTAGAGAGTGATAGATGGAAATATACAGAGAGGCACTCCATGAGGAGGGGGTGGGTCTGAGGCCAGGGCATAAAGAGCCCCTAGTGAAGGTTGATTAAGCCATATGCACACACACCCACCCTTCAGCTTAAAAAGCGCTTTATGTCACTCACATTGCTCTTTGCATCCTCACAGCCACCCTAAGGTGGTTTCCTTAGCCCTCCCTCCATTTTGCAGGTGATGAAACTGAGATTCTAAGAGGATCAAGGACCCGCCCAGGGCCCTATAGGAGGCTGGGACTTGAACTCATGCTTGTCTCAGATCCAGTGTACTTCCTGCCTTAGCTCACTACCTTGAAAGGAAACTGCCCCGCCCAGCCTGAACTGATCCCATTATGAGACGTGCCCCAGCAAGTTCCCCAAGAATTTGAAGTTTGAACCTTTGAGGAGTAGACTGGGTGATCAATGGACTGGGAGTGAGGGACCTGGGTTCCTGCCCAGGCTCAGCTGGTGGCTCTCTATGCAACTCTGACAAGGTTGGCACATCTGTAAGCCTCAGTTTTCATCATCTGTAAAATGGGGGCTGACCATGCCTGCCACCTCAGGTGGCTAGGTCCCCCCAGGGAGATGAGGGCTGCCGAGGTATATTGTGAGTACCTAGAACATGTTAGCTCCTTCATTCAGTAACTATTTATTGAGCATTTGTGTCAGGTGCTGTTCTAGGCTCTGGAAATACATGGCAAACAAGATAAAAATCCCTGCCCTCTGGAGTATACATTCTAGTGAATCAAATAAATAATATGTTGGGGATGTAAGTGGCTGTGGGAGTGGGAGGAATAATGTAATAGCCATAAGAGTCTAGACTTCATTTTGTTCAGTGCTGGCTCCTAAGTGCCTACAGCAGTGCCTGGCACATAGTAGGTGTTCAATAAAATGTGTTAAACAAAACGGGGGGGGGGAATAAAACAGGGTAAGAGTGCAAGCTAATTCAAATAAGATGGTCTGGGAAGGCCACCTGAAGGAATCAGTAGTGAGTAGGGATCGAAACGAAATGAGGGAGTGAGCCATGCAGATAACTGGACAAAGAATGATCCAGGTGGACAGAGCAGCAAGTGCAAAGTCCCTGAGGGGGAAACAGGCCTGGGATGCTCCAGGAACAGAGGCCTGCCTGGTTGGCGTGAGTGAGTGACAGGACCAGGAGGAGATGTCAACAGAGAGGTGCCAGGGGCCCGACCATGTTGGTTCCTCTGACCCTGGAATAAGCCTGGGACCATCCCCCCAATACCTTTACACCCCTTCCCTCCAAAGGGAAAAAAGACCTCAGGGGGCTCTGTAGCCAGACCCATCCATATTTCCAGGGGTCGTGTTAAAAACATTTTACACCTAGTGCACCCCAGAAAGGACACTGACCTTAAGTCACCTGGAGCAGGAGCCCGGAGCCCTGGCTGGGCCAGGCTTGAACCCCCTGGTGGCTTTGGTTGTGTCACGGTAGGGAGTGCCTGGGGGGAAGGCTGAGGCCTCAGGGAAGGACTTGAGGGGCTCAGAGTTGTGGCCTTTTAAACCTTTGTGGAAGTATTTCCATATTTTAACTGGCATAGCCCTGCCTTCTCATCATTCCAGCGGGATCCTGAGCAGGCCTCAGGAGACACAAACAGCCCTGGCTTGACCTTTCCAAATGCATGAGTCTTTCCAACCAAGGGGCCTGGGGTTCTGCCCCAAATGCCTCTCTTTGCCTGGAGGCCACCAGAGCTTCTACCTGGGGGGACCCCTGGTAGGAGCAAGGAAAGGTCTCCTCCTCCTGTCCCCCATCCTTCCCGCGGTGTGCCACGCCCCCTCCTCCTCACCGTATAAATATCCAGGGTGACAAACGGCTACCCCAAACCATCTGTTTCTTTGTACAAATTTGTAGCCAGTTTGGAAACGTGATTTATAAATATTGCTTTTGCAGCCAGGGACTGACACTGATAGATGTCAGGCCAGATGGATGCATGCGGTGCTGGGCGCAGATTCCACCTAGAAGTTTGGGGTAGGGGTCTGGGCTGGCCCGCAGCTTCCCCAGCTGAAACCAGCCACAGCCCGGGAGGCAGCTCAGGGGTCAAGGACAATGCTCAGGGAGTCCCTCTTTATGGGTGAAGGAGTGGCAGGGACCAAAGCTCTCAAAACGTATGTCTCCATGGCCAAGACAGCAACCCTGGGAAACAAATGTCCCTCTCCTCTCTCTGTTCTTGCTTGGAAATTTGAAGCTGAGCCAGAGCCAGCCACTCATTTTTCAAATCTGTCTGATTCTCGGTGCCTCCACTACCGCTATTATCTCACACCTGAAACACACAATAGCTTCCCAACTGGTCTTCTACATCCACTCTTGTATTTCACATTAGAAACTTCCTTGTCTGGAATATAGGCTCAGCAAGGGCAGGGACCTGTCTGTGTTGTTCATTACTGTATCCTCAGGGGCTAGAATAGTCCTGACATGTAGAGGGTGCTCAATTAGTATCTACTGTTGAATGAATAAATGACATGTCACTAGATCACTTCTTTGCTTAAAACCCACCAATCCATGGCCTCCCATTGCTTTTAAGAAATTAACCCAAATTCCTTACCATGGCCTCTAATACTTTCCACGGCGGGTCCCTGCCTCCCCTTCCAGCCTCATCTTGACTCACTTTAGCCATCACCTTCATCCCTCCAGCCACAACGAACTGCTTTTGGCTCCTTGAGTGTATTATGTTGCTTCCAACCTCAGGGCCTTTGCATGGCTATTCCCTCCTTGAACTCATCATTCAGGGCTCAGCAGTAATATCACTTCTTCCAAGAAGACCTCCCTGACCTTCCAGACTGAGTCCAGTCCTCTGTTAGGTGCCCTTCCTATGCCTTTCCTCATTAGCCCTCACCGTGGTCTGTGGTTTGTAATTGTAAACTAACTTGTCTATTTGATTAATATTTGTCTCTCACATTAGAATTTAAACTCAGATCCAGTACTATTGGTTTAGCTCTCCATTATCTTCCCCCCTCCCCCGTAATAGCATGGTGCCTAGCACATAGTAGTTACTCAATAAAGAGTTATTGGATGGATGGATGAATGAGTGGATGGATGATGGATGGATGGATAGATGATGGAAGGATGGATGGAGGAGCAGTGGATGAATGTATGATGGATGGATGGATGGACGGATGGATGGATGGATGGACGGACGGACGGGTGGATGAATGGGTAATTTGGGGTGGATGGAAAAGGTAGCTATGCCAACAATTTCACTGGATAAATTCAGATAAGTCACCAACTTCCACATATATAAAATGGGGATCATGTCAACTCTTGGTTGTAGGGATTAAACATTACTATGTGTTTAAAGTATCCACTCAGTCCTTGATGCATAGAAAGCATTCAGTACATGCAAAGGAGTCCCACACCATTTCCTCTTTTCCCCATCTTGCTCTTGAGCCTCCTTTCTTCCCCAGGGGAAGGCCGATGTTTTCACAGCTGGGGTTAAGTATACCTTTGACAGGAGGGCTAGAGTGCAAGCCAGAGCTGGGGGAACTAACCAAGGACCACAAAAGGTACCCAGAAAGTTGTGGTTCATTCAAGCATCGCTGTTCAAGTCTGGCTCGGTGCCAGGAAAGAGACAGGCACACGCTGCGGTACCACAGTGTGACAAGTGCTGAACAGAAGTGTGCATGGCACCTGCGTAGTCAGAGCAGAGAGAGGGGAGTCATAAATCCTTCCTTCCCAGGGAAGCGGAGAAAGGAGGCCACAGAAAGGAGGTGACATTTAGCTGGAGCATGACGGATGAGGAATTTGCCCAGGCAGGAGGTGGAGAGGGTGTTGCAAATAGCAGGGACTTGGTGAGTGAAGGACAGAGCAGCCTAGACAGAGCGCGGGCACTCCGTGCAGCCCCAGGAACATCAGGGTGGGGCGCGAAGAAAAGAACCACAGCATCTATTGTGAGTTTCTGTGCTGGGAACTATTCTAAGGGTTCTGCATGCGTTTTACCATTTAATCCTCACTCCCACCTGATTCTATTTTCCTCAGCTACAGATTAGGAAGCTGATGTCCAGAGAAGCTAAGTTTCCCAAGCTAGTAAATTGTCAACTTGGCGTTATTTTTAACATCTTTGTGGAAATTTTCAAATGGGTGTAAAAGTGGATAGAATCATATCACAAACTCGCATGTGCCTATCACATGAGCTTCAGCCGGGACCAATCTTATTTCAGCTGGATCTCTAGTCCACTTCCTAGATGTGCTCAAGGTCACACACGGCCCTCCGAAGGCTTTTTCCTGCTTTGTACCCATTATGGGGAAGGCCAGGACGGGGCCCTGAATTGGGGGCTGCAGAGAAGAGGCTGGGTTAACTGAGGCCACAAAGGCCGGGAGAGGGACCCAGGCTGCCAAAGTCAGAGGTCAGTGAGACCAGCTGCAAGACTTGGAGGGCAGGGCCCCCTCTTGTGGAGTTGGCTGTGAACTGTGGGGAGTGGCCAGCTGGGCTCTGAGTACTTCTGAACCACCATGTTGGCAGCGATCAGAGTGATGAAGGCTCAGGGATGGCCTGACCCATCCAGGAGAGGTGCAGAGGAGGCAGGAAGGCCAGGGGAAGTGGGCACCACATGCCTCGTGAGCCCTTGTTCCAAAACCAGACACCCACCCCCCCTCCCCCAGGCCTGCTGGCATTCCTAGCAACAGGCTACCACAAGGTAATGAGTACATGTGTTAGTTCACCATCCTCTCTGGCCACATGTATTTAAAAAAGGAAGGAGGTGGTTGAGGGAGCTTTGGCATGAGCAGGTCCTCTTACCAGGCCCTGGGGGCCACGCCCCAGCCCTCTAGGCTCAGTCTCTTAGACTCTGGACAGAACGCTTCTGCAGCCAAAGGCAGCTGCCAGCCAGTGTCCCCAGTCTTTTCTGATGACCCAGGACTTGTCAGGGCTCAGCAAGCCACAACCCAAGGGCCACAGTTCCCCAGGGTCAGGATGCATTGGACAACTGGGGTGGAATCTGGAACAAAACAGGCTGTTGAGACAAATGGGGAAAACCAACACCATAGCCAGGGACAGGACCTTGGCCCAGCTGGGGACAGAATCTTGGAATAGCTTGAATAAGAAAAGAATCTTGAGATCGCTGGGAATAGAATGTTGGGACAGCTAAGGACAGAACTGCGGGCTATATGGCTGGGAACAGGATCTTCGGGCAGCTGGGGACAGAATTTGGGGACAGCTGGGAACAGAATTTTAGAAGATTGGGGAATAGACCCACAGGTCAGCTGGGAGGCTGTAGCCTGGGGCATAGGGAGGCAAATCCGGAGGTGAAATCAAGAGGTGCCTGGGACGGGGGAAGCTGAGCCTGGACCTCAGGTCACACGCCCCTCCCTTTTTCTGGCGCAGACAACACAGCCGCAGTGCACACGCAGCACCTGGGCTTCAACCGGCAGGAGCAGGACGTGTTCTTCCTGCCCATCCTGGTGGTGGACAGCGGGCCGCCCACGCTCAGCAGCACGGGCACACTCACCATCCGCATCTGCGGCTGCGACAGCTCCGGCGCCATCCAGTCCTGCAACACCACGGCCTTCGTCATGGCCGCCTCCCTCAGCCCCGGCGCCCTCATCGCACTGCTGGTCTGTGTCCTCATTCTTGTCGGTGAGTCCACTGGGAGCCACCCCTCCCCATGGCCCCATCCTGGGCACTGGGTTTCCTTCCCTGGTGGTCCCCGTGGGGCCTCGGTTTCCCTCTCCATACAGGGAAGGGCTGGCTCGAATGGTGTCCAAGCTCTAACATGAAGTTCCCATGGACAGTCTTCTCAGTACGGAGCAGCGGACGGTGCCAACCCCCACCTGAGACTAGGTCGTGCTGCCCCACCCTCTACACGGGCCAAACGTTCCCTAAGTTTGAAAAACCAAGCATGTCTTTAAAGATTCTCTCATCCGTTGTCCCATTTTATTCTCTATGTAGTAAAGGGCTCTTGTGAGCCTCACCACCACTCAGCCAGGTGTATTATCCCCATTTTTCAGATGAGGAAACTGAGGCTCAGAGAGGTTTAGTGGCTTGCATAGGATGCACAGTTAGTCCGCTGACTTGAAATCACGTCTTCGCGCCCTGTGTTCCCTGCTCCTTTACCCCACCTGCTAAGAATCTAAACTGGGGCCAAAACCTTGGGGCAGCTGGGGCAAAATCTTAAGAATTTGGGGTCAAATTTACTCTGGTGTCAGTTCCACTGGCAGCCCATTGAACCCCAACTATGTTCCCAGTGAAGAGATCAAGTTCCAGGAGCTAAACTGATTCACGTGGCCATAAAGCCGCCTTTCACCCTGGTAGCAAAAGGCCCCGTCTCAGCCCTGACTACTGGGCTTCACGGAACAGTGAGAGCTAGAGGGACTCAAGGGAGGTCCATGTTGCAGACACCGGCTTTGCTCAGTTCCCTGGGAGATGTCAGCTGCCCCCACCCCTCATTGCCTACCACTCGTCTGGCCACTGCCCACCCCTCTGAGGACCAGCCTGTGGTCAAGCTGCACCTCCTCAGGTCCCTGCAGAGGCCTTTCCTAGCGGGGAGGCCCCAGCCCCCCTCTCTCCCCTCCCCAGCCCATGGCTCAGAAACCCTTTTCCAGAGGGTGCACTTTACAGCAGTCTCATTTTCTGAGGCAGTGCAAACAAATTTCTGCCTAATTGCCCACAAACGAAGAAAGTGCACATCAGTGCTCTAAAGGTGACGGCGGAATCACTGATCGGGCCTGGCACATCTGTCGCCTGCCGCCTGCGCTCCCCACCATCTGCTCTCACGGGCATCCCCCTCCGCAGCTTCCAGCCTCCAGCTCCAAAAGCCATCCATCCATCTTCCCCACTTCCCTCCTGACACCTTCCCTCCCCCCGGACCTCTCCTTGGCCCCATCCCCTTCCCTGTCATGAGCCACCTTGTTAGGCCATGAGCCAGCACCCTGCTTCATGGCCCTAACCGCTGACTCTGGCCACTGGCCCTGCTGGAGCTGTTTGGAGCAGCAAGAACAATCCAGGGCCTGGCATAGTACCCAGGACATCTGTCCATCCATCCACCCACCTATCCATTTAATTCTCCCCTTCATTCATCAGTTTCTTATTTATCCACCCGGTGAGTTCCCCCTCTGTGCTAAACTGTTCTCGGCACTGAACTCATCAGTGAGCAGAAGAGACTAAAAGCCCTGAGTAACTGGGAGGTCGGGGTTGCCATCACTGCAACGGAGACTGAGGGTGAGGAAGGCGGAAAGAGTATTCACTCAGGTGTGGGCAGTTAAATGTGAGATTCTCTTGGCCAACCCAGAGGACTGGTTAAATAGGAAACAAGACATACAATCTAGACTTCAGGGGAGAGGTCCAGGCTGGAGTTTGCAGCACAGGATTTGCCAGCCTCTAATGGAGCTTTTATAAAGCCATGAGACTGAAGGAGAGCGCCAAGAGGGCCTGCGGATGGAGGTCCAAGGACTGAGTCCTGCGACATCTGAGGTTAAGAAGTCGGAGGGGAGACGCCTGCTCTGATGGTTGAGTGATCAGACATGGGAGGAGGCAGAGAACAAGGAGTGCGGGAAGTCAAGTGAAGAGAGCCAAGAAGGGCTGATTCATTCATTCACTCTTCCTTTCACTCACCCAGGTTTCCGTCCTCATTCAGTCATTCATTCAACGAGCACATTCATTCACTCTTCCTTTCACTCACCCAGGTTTCCGTCATTCAGTCATTCATTCAACGAGCACGCTCCACGTGCTCACTGCACGCCAGGCAGCAGTTGGGGGAACATTGCCCAGGTCCTCCATGGGAGTGGAGGGTGTGTACTTGGGGGTGGGGAGGCTGACATGCTAACCCAGCAGGGCCGGTGGTATGATGGGCAGTGGCTCTCACACTGGTAGACCTGGAGGGGACCCAAGCGTTCACCTTTCTAACGAGCTCCCAGGAGAGCTGGCTGCTGCTGGTCCAGGGACGGAGGTTTGAGAACCAGTGTGAGGGAGGGCGGAGCTCCTCACCAAGGGAGCTGGGAGGTGATGGCCTGGAGCTCTTCCGGGAAGGGATCCTGCAGGAGGCGTCTTGACCTGAGACTCCAGAGACTCGGAGGTGCTCAGGACTCTGGAGTGGACAGAGGAGGGCGAGGGTGAAAGAGAGGTCAGGGCCAAGGACGTTCCTCCAGCCCTCAGCTGCTCCCTCACACCCCCAGCACCTGGAGACCTGGGTGTCTCTTCATGGAGCTGAGGATGAAGACCTCAGAGGTTGGGTCCAGCCCCCAACACCCATGAAATTCCAACCCTGCCCTCGGTGCCCCGCAGACTGCGGTGGTCTGGCCCCAGTGTGCACACCCCAAGAGGGAGAGAGCTCCCCGCTCATCCAGGCAGCCTTAGGCCCGGCTCCCCGGGGTGGGAGGGGGCCCTGCGCGGCCCTCACGCCCCTTCTGTCCCCCACGCAGTGCTGGTGCTGCTGATCCTCACCCTCAGGCGCCACCACAAGAGCCACCTGAGCTCCGAGGAGGACGAGGACATGCGGGACAATGTCATCAAATACAACGACGAGGGTGGCGGCGAGCAGGACACCGAGGCCTACGACATGTCGGCGCTGCGGAGCCTGTACGACTTTGGCGAGCTCAAGGGCGG